AGGGACTGGCCATATATTATTGGGGGCACGGTGGGACTGGTTTTTGGTAACATATTTTGCTGAGTATGATATTTTCAGCTTCATACTTGTGGGCAACATGTTGAACAAAATGGCAGATTTGAAATGAGCATGAAAGGCAAGAGATCGCTGTCGAAACCCTTATATGGTTAATTGTTGACAGTTCAGGGGCTCCCAGGATTTAAATACTGAATCAATAAACCTCAGGGGGCACGGCTGGCCCAGTCGACTAAGGCGCTGTGATTTGCTGTACAGAGTTGCATCCCTTGGGTACGCCAGAAACCTATAATTGTGGGTTCGAATCCCGGTTCTCCCTGATTATGTTTCTAGGTTTGTCAGCAGCATACCCGTGCTCGTGGGTTTCACTGAAGTGGTAAACATCTGAGACCTGCATCACTTCGGGTTTTCCTCCCACATTAAGCTGACGTGCCACGATGTAACTGCAATACTGTTTAAAGCGGCGTTAAACCCAACTCACTCAATCACTCACTCACTGATTCACTCACTGATTCACTCACTCACTCACTCACTCACTCACCCTCAAGGCCCCCTCTTTGCATCTAACATTTAACTCAGGACAAGTGTATATGGTCTTGTCCTGAGTGTATATGTTAATATGGTTTATGGTTAGTATGTCTGTGTCATATCTATATTTTATGGTTAATTCTGTGTAACCATGGTAACACTGAACATGCTTGCTTGACAGATAAAACAAATTTATTGCCCTTGGCAAATTATTCATCTGTTCATCCTTGTTCTCCTGCCATTAAGTTATTTCAGTGGGACACTGCTGGCAGCAGACACTGGAAACTATGGCAACTGTCTGTAATTAGTTCCTAACTGTACCAAAACCTTTATTCCAAATCCTCAGTAGATTGAGTATTCAGTTTTTTTCCAATGTGTCCGGCAAATTATTGATTTCCCTGGTGTGTGTGTGAGCTTCCTACATCTATGTTGGCCTTGCTGCCTGGGTCTGTTAGTTTACCTGTTGGCCATGCTTCTTTGTTAATGGGGGTGGTTGGGTAGCCTAGTGGTTAAAGCGTTCGCTTGTCACGCCGAAGACCCGGGTTCGAATCCCGACATGGGTACAATGTGTAAAGCCCATTCCTGGTGTCCCCTGCCGTGAAATTGCTGGAATATTGCTAAAAGCTGGTAAAACCAAACTCACTCACTCACTCTTTGTTAATGGATTTGTATAGACTTGTAACATTTTCTGATTGAATCAACATGTTTCTGTTTGATGATAGGTCATGGCATGGTGTATGCCATGCAAACATTAGCATTATGAGCATGATGAGAGGGATACAAGATTGTGTGAAGGGACTTGGATTGGGGATGGTAGGGGTTGATAGTCCAAGACTTGTGAAAATAACCCGTACCCGTGGGTTTCACCGAAGTGGTAAATGTCTGAGACCTGCATCACTTCGGGCTTTCCTCCCACATTAAGCTGACACGCCGTGATATAACTGGAATATTGTTAAAAGCGGCGATAAGCCCAACTCACTCACTCACTCACTTGTGAAAATATAGACAGACTTGTTGAAATGACCTGTGGACTAGCAGGATATGACTAATGGTGTCTAACCCTCGGGTGAACACACAAAATAGGGGTGGAGGGTAGCCTTGTGGTTAAAGTGTTCGCTCTTCATGCCTAAGACCTGGGTTTGATCCATTTCTGGTGTCCCTCAGCGTGATATTGCTGGAATATTGCTACAAGTGGCACTCACTCACTCACTCACTCACTCACTCACTCACTCACTCACTCACTCACTCACTCACTCACTCACTCACCCTCAAGGCCCCCTCTTTGCATCTAACATTTAACTCAGGACAAGTGTATATGGTCTTGTCCTGAGTGTATATGTTAATATGGTTTATGGTTAGTATGTCTGTGTCATATCTATATTTTATGGTTAATTCTGTGTAACCATGGTAACACTGAACATGCTTGCTTGACAGATAAAACAAATTTATTGCCCTTGGCAAATTATTCATCTGTTCATCCTTGTTCTCCTGCCATTAAGTTATTTCAGTGGGACACTGCTGGCAGCAGACACTGGAAACTATGGCAACTGTCTGTAATTAGTTCCTAACTGTACCAAAACCTTTATTCCAAATCCTCAGTAGATTGAGTATTCAGTTTTTTTCCAATGTGTCCGGCAAATTATTGATTTCCCTGGTGTGTGTGTGAGCTTCCTACATCTATGTTGGCCTTGCTGCCTGGGTCTGTTAGTTTACCTGTTGGCCATGCTTCTTTGTTAATGGGGGTGGTTGGGTAGCCTAGTGGTTAAAGCGTTCGCTTGTCACGCCGAAGACCCGGGTTCGAATCCCGACATGGGTACAATGTGTAAAGCCCATTCCTGGTGTCCCCTGCCGTGAAATTGCTGGAATATTGCTAAAAGCTGGTAAAACCAAACTCACTCACTCACTCTTTGTTAATGGATTTGTATAGACTTGTAACATTTTCTGATTGAATCAACATGTTTCTGTTTGATGATAGGTCATGGCATGGTGTATGCCATGCAAACATTAGCATTATGAGCATGATGAGAGGGATACAAGATTGTGTAAAGGGACTTGGATTGGGGATGGTAGGGGTTGATAGTCCAAGACTTGTGAAAATAACCCGTACCCGTGGGTTTCACCGAAGTGGTAAACGACTGAGACCTGCATCACTTCGGGCTTTCCTCCCACATTAAGCTGACACGCCGTGATATAACTGGAATATTGTTAAAAGCGGCGATAAGCCCAACTCACTCACTCACTCACTTGTGAAAATATAGACAGACTTGTTGAAATGACCTGTGGACTAGCAGGATATGACTAATGGTGTCTAACCCTCGGGTGAACACACAAAATAGGGGTGGAGGGTAGCCCTGTGGTTAAAGTGTTCGCTCTTCATGCCTAAGACCTGGGTTTGATCCATTTCTGGTGTCCCTCAGCGTGATATTGCTGGAATATTGCTACAAGTGGCACTCACTCACTCACTCACTCACTCACTCACTCACTCACTCACTCACTCACTCACTCACTCACTCACTCACTCACTCACTCACTCACTCACTCACTCACTCACTCACTCACTTGGCCATTGAGAAGTTTTTATTTGTTTGTTGTTTTGAGCCGCACTCAGCAATATTCCAGCTTTAAGAAGCTTGTCTGTAAATAATCGTACCCATGAAGATTCCGTGGTAGAATAGGTCTTCAGCAACCCATGCTTGCCGTTAAAGGTGACTATGCTTGTCGTGAAAGGCGACTAACAGGATCGGGTGGTCAGGCTCGCTAACTTGGTTGATGCATGTCATTAAACAACAAACCAACAGACCAACCAACTGTAAATAATCGAGTATTGACTCGTATGTTATCCTTAACATTGGTTGTTGGTAGTAATCTTGGTGCATTCAATATTTGTTATTCCCTTGAGCCAGTCTATTGAGTAGTTCACTCCAATTTGAAGACAAATATTTTGACACACCTCTGCATTAAATGCTGTTTCAGGTGACTTCTAAGGTGACCCCATATGTGTCACTTGTTGCATAAGATCACAACAGCGATTAACAATAAGCAAGACATCACCATGGAAATAGCACCTTGTCATGCATTATTCACTACAGTAGAGATCATGTATGTGTAATGTCTGCAGTCAAACAATAAATAAAGATCGATAAAGACTTACTCGTGTGAAACTGAAAGTTTCTTACAAACCAGCGTCTGAACTAACTGATCTTCATTAATAACACTTATTGTGCCTATACTTTGATACAAGTGAAATACACCAGTCTCTGTCAACGTTGTCCCCTTATACCATGTATACTATTAACTAGGGCTGTTACGATTCACTCGCATATTCGGTGAATCGAACCGTATCCATTCATGAATTGATTTCGTTATTCGTGGCCTCTAGAATCGAATATTTATGAATATGCAAGCATATGCATTTACATAAAAAAGACCCATAAGAACATATTTTATGCATAGATTTCTTCATAAGACAACACTCTTATACTATTTCATTCGACAGTATTGTGGTCACTGGTCAGTGTTGCATTTGAGCAGATAATAGTACCTGGATAAATGCAGTATATAAATGAATAATATATTTATTTATATATTAAAATTAACAAACCATGTCAAATAATTCATGTTGTTGTTGCCTCACTGAACATGCTGAATATGACAAATGATACATCAACTGCTGACTTGTTATTGTATTCGTGAATTATTATTCGTAATCGTTACCCTATATTCATGATACAAATCGTATTCGCCTCATAGTGTATTCGTTGCAGCCCTACTATTTACCACATGTATAATGATGTATCTAGGCATAAAATATCCAATGTAGGACTGAATAGAGATTAGGCCACACAGTTTTTCATTTTCCATTTCACGGGCCAGCTGCCCCAACTGAAAAGCAGGTGGAAAAGAAATACATGGAACATTAAAATATTTATTTTTATAATGTCTCTTGCTAGTAACGTAGACCCTTTTATAAAATCAATTCCATGTCTACATCACTATTAGTGATTCAAGACACGGGCTGCAGTTTTTACTCCACCACAGAATGACTTTCAAATTAATAAATAAATGATTGACATAGATATTTATTTTTATTTTTATTTCGACTGACCTTGTTTGGAAAAAGCTGGAATAAATCTGTAAGACATTAAATAAAAAAAGCGCAGCCTTATGAATAATTTTTTTTTTCGGGACAAAGACTCTGATATCAGGGAAGTAATTGCATGTAGAGTACATGTGGGTTAAATATTATTGTCAGTTTGAATGACTACGGTTGAACGTGTTGAAAAGGATACATTGTTTAATTACACAGTGTTGCATACTATTTGGCTGTAGACTGTTTTCATGTGTATTGAACGCAAGCATTCATTGATTGGGTGATTGTTTTATTATTTTACAATGCGCAGCTTATCTGGAGCTCTGTTCGTGTTTTTACATGTACTGATTGGTTGGTTGTATTTCAGAGTCAGGCATGGACCAGTTCAATGATATATCAGAAATTCTGGGGATGGACACCACCATCAGTCCCGAGAACCTCAGCGAACTGCCGGACGAACTGGTGAGTCGTGTGTCGTGTGTAGCCTGTCAGTGGTAAATGTTGTTGGTTTGGGGATGATTGAAGCAGCAATAGAAATTGGCACTAGTCCTATAGCATGCTATAGTCCTTTGCCCAAATCGCCAACAGTTAAGCAGCGTTAGAAATTGGCACTAGTCCTATAGTCGTTTGCCCAAATCGCCAACAGTTAAGCAGCGTTAGAAATTGGCACTAGTCCTATAGTCCTTGCCAAACTGCCCAATGGTAAAGGTATCATAAGGACTAGTAGAAATTTGCCCTTTTTAAGGGTTTTGCTATATGTTATCATTATAAGGACTAGTGGACGAAAACTGTTAGTTTCTAACCCTGGTTAAGGTATTATAAGTACCAGTAAAATTTGCCAATTTTAGGGTTTTGCAACCAAACATGTTAGTTTCTATCACTGCATGAAGTCTGTTTATGATGCCTTGAATGCCAGCATTTAAATTACAACATTCGAGGCCTCAGAAAGCTTTGAAAACGGTTTGTGGTAGACATGTGGAGGACATTTCCAAATTTGAGATAATCTCTATCTGCTTCTGAGCCATGATATAACGAACATGCTGTTCACTCACTCACTCACCTACTTTCCCAGTTGTCCCTTGAGGGAAGTTCCTCGCCGGTCGACCTCTCCACAAACAGCAAGACTGTCCCCATGGAAGACTTCAACTTCGAACACAAGTTTGATGACGAGAAGTTAGACTTTTCCAAATTCACTGACGAGAATTTTGATGACTACTGGAAAGAACAGAGTGATAGTTCGGACAGCGGCATCTATGGAGAAACTGGTGAGTGGATAGGATGCTACTGATGTTTGTTTGTTTGTTTGCATGTCAGCTTAATGTGGGATGGAAGCACGAGGTGATGGTCTTGAGGTGTTTACCACTTTGAGTTTGTTTGTTTGTTGTTTAACACTGCACTCAGCACTGTTGAATGTATATGTTTGCAGCTTTAAAAAAGGTATAAATGGCGTAAATGAAGGCTTTTCTGTGTGTGTACAAATACCATGGTATGTACCGCAGTATATGAGCAGATACCATGGTACTATATTTTTCGTGGTATCCATCACTACAGTCAGCAATATTCCAGCTGTATGACGGTGGTCCTCCAGTGATTGACATCATGAGCATTGATCTATGCAATTGGGATACAATGACATGCATCAATCAAGTAAGCGAGCCTAACCCCCTGATCCCATAATCGTCTGTTACGACAAGCAAGGGTTGCTGAAGACCAATTCTAACCCAGAATCTTTACGGGACGAGACCGCCTCCGTGGTCTAGTGGTAGAGCGTCCGCCCGGAGAGCGGAAGGTCCGGGGTTCGATCCCCTGCCGCGTCATACCAAAAGACGTTAAAAGATGGTACTTGTTGTTACCCTGTCTGGCGCTCGGCATTAAGGGGCTAAAACAAGGACTGGTTGGCTCGGAGTCAGTATACTGTGTCTGAGTGGGATATTCCTGTTAAACTGCGGCATGGTATCTCAGTGAGCTAGCACTATAAATCGGCATCAGTCCGGGCTAGTACAAGCAGCCACACAAACACACACACGTACATGCACATCGCTATATAAGTGCAATAATCTTGGACGCGACGTTAAACCCCAATTCACCTCACCTCACCTTCACGGGACGATGCTACTGATGAAACCCTGGTGCAGCGGACACCCTTTAAGAATGTCTTCATACTTGGAAGGGATCGTTCCCAGTCCACACACTTGTTTGTTAATCCTGAGATTTGTTGATACCTAGCATGGATTAACAGTGTGGTATTGTATCATGTTGAATAAGCTTGAAACATACATTAGAATGTTTATTGCTATTCAAGTATTGACTTCAATATTATTTCAATGCCTGGCCTCATCATAACCAAAGATGTTCAGAGATGGTACTTGTTAACTCTTATATTGTTATTGGATAATTCTGGTATACAAATGCAATAATCTTGAATGTGCGTTAAACCCCATTTCACCCTACTTTCTCCTAGTGATTCTGTATACATATTGTAACAAAGACATTGTTTCTTCCCAGCAGTCCACATCAAGCAGGAACCACCATCACCTGTGTCGTCCAACTGCTCGGAAACTGGCTCCGAGGGATATGTGAGTTTTATTAACCTCTTGACCTGAAACCATGGGAACAATGTAATTAACACAAAATGAGGCTTAAATTGATATTTTTTCCAAATTGTCTTTTGTTTTAAGTTCTTATTTTCTTCATTTCAGACTTTGTACTTAAACACTGCATTCAATGCAACAATGTTAAACTAAGAATTCAAACATACTATTACTGTCCAGTTATCAGTGAAAGTCCCACCTACAAGACCATAACATTGCATGATTATTAATAAGTGTAAAAACATGAATTATTTATTCCAATTGGGAAGCTTTTACTGTTAATGATTCAAGGCAAATTTGGGGTTGAATACTGGTCTCTGAACAGATCTGGATCAATCCTGATGTACATAGAAACCTTACTCCAGCTTGATAACGGTGTAAGAATCTACATTTAAACATTGCTGTATCCAACAAGCCAGAAGTTGTTATCCATAAAGTTGTATGGATTTCTTACTCACACATTGTAATTGACACATTCCGCATCAGTTTGAAATTATTGTATTTCTTGATGGCACACTTATATTCCAAAGCATCTTAACCGCCTCTGTGGTCTAATGGTAGAGCGTCCGCCCGGAGAGAGAAATGTCAGGGGTTTGATACCCGGCCGCGTCATACCAAAAGACGTTTAAAGATGGTACTTGTTGTTACCCTGTCTGGCGCTCGGCATTAAGGGGTTAAAACCAGGACTGGTCGGCTCGGAGTCAGTATACTGTGTCTGAGTGGGGTATTCATGTTAACTGCGGCATTGTATCTCAGTGAGCTAGCACTATAAATTGGCATCAGTTCGGACTAGTACAAGCAGCCACACACGTGCATGCACGTCGCTATATAAGTGCAATAATCTTGGACGCGACGTTAAACCCCATTTCACCTCACCTCACCTTGTCCAGCTTTACATATATTGAGCTCCAAAGCATCTTCGTGAGTGCCCTGATCCACACATGAGAACCTACATTTCTATTTCTGCATATCTTCTCTGTCCACAGAGCTCATTATCATCATCTGCCAACACCTTCGTCTTTGCGTCGCCACCTGCAACATCAGAGGATTGTAAACCTACCATCATCATCAACACCGCAGGGAACACCCTCCTACCCAACTTACAGTCCAATGTCGTCAACATCAACTCAATACTCAACTCCAAAATCAAGATACAACCCAAACCATCGGAAGGGGGGACAACTCTAACTCAGCCCAAGTCCCAGGCCCAGAGTGTCCCAGGTAAAGCAAGTTATATTTTGATCCATCAGTGTAGTGTTGTAGGGTGGGGCCTTATTTAACTGACTGCTTAGGTTTTCATGTTTTTTGATGATTTTTCATTTGATTTATTATGTAATCTATATCTGAATAGGTTGGGTGTGAGATTAAAGTGTTGTCATTTAATTATTACATGGGACATGTGTGGCCCAAGCTTTTTGGCAGCCACAATTTGCTGTGCAGAGTTGCGTCCCTTAGGCATATGATAACGGGTTTGTTTCCTTGTGTCACCCTGATTTATGTTACAAGGCTTGTCATGTGTGAAGCCCATTTCTGGTGTCCCCCGCCGTGATATTGCTGGAATATTGCTAAAAGCGGCGTAAAACCATTCTCACTCACTCACTACAAGGCTTGTCATGTGTGAAGCCCATTTCTGGTGTCCCCCGCCATGATATTGCTGGAATATTGCTAAAAGCGGCGTAAAACCATACTCACTCACTCACTACAAGGCTTGTCATGTGTGAAGCCCATTTCCGGTGTCCCCCCCCCCCCCCCCGTGATATTGCTGGAATATTGCTAAAAGCGGCGTTAAACCATACTCACTCACTCACTACAAGGCTTGTCCCTACTGTTTGTTAGTCTCATCTCAACATTGTCAAACCAGACTTATATTAAAATTTGTCATCCGAAACTGGCTTCGTTTCAGTTAACGCTGGTTATTATTTTTTACAAACAGAAAAAGTGGAATAATGATTTTAAATGATAAGAATTTCGCTCTTATGTCTTCCAGTTTCAAATATATCAAGCCTCGTTGATAAAGGTCAAATTATCCTTGGCAAGCCTTGTACTTTTGATAAATATTGTTCTGCGATGACACACTACACAGCTTCATTCCAATAATGACCGCTTTGTTTTGTGACAGCGAAGCCTCTGGTCCTGACAGGGGAAGAGTTTGCCAAGCTGACTGCAGCAGGCACCCTTCGCTTCCAGCCACCGGGGGAGGTGAAAGGAATAGCCGTACCTCCCAAACAGCCACAGCAGCAGCAGCAGACAGTGGTCACTACTGTCCAGCCTTGCATGTCCCCACCCCCAGGGATGATTCAAGTCGATGGTGAGGTGGGTGCTGATTACTGAAGTGTATCACCAGCTGATTACTGTTTTGAGAGCAGTGTCCTCCTGTGTTGTTGATGGAGCTGCGATCCTAGTCACCATGGTAGTGGCAGCAAGGCTTCCTCCTAGCCTACCTATAACATCAAAGACTTCTTTGGGCATGTTGAGCAAGCTGTTTATTTTGCAGCTGTAGGGAATTTAATAATGTTTTGTGAAAACAAGTATTTTCATAGGGTCACAGGTTTTTGGACATCATACGTTTTCGGAAGGCCATGTTTGGTGCGATTACTTTTGCTATAACAAGGGGGATGACATTGTAAATACTCAGGTGATGACCTTTTTTTTAGATAAGGTCGTCTTTTAGAAGTGAGAGGGATGTTTTAAGTTGTTCTTGTGATTACAAGAATATTACAATATTTTAGTGTCCGAAAAAACCATAACAAGGGGATACAGTAAATATGTGATGTTAATGTGTTCCTCCTGCTTACAAAATCTACCAAATAGACACAATTTACTACGGTTATTGAGGACTTCACTTGCAACGTTAACATTTTACCCCATAACTTTACTAAAATCATGGAACTGGAGACAAGACAATGAAACCATATACGGCATTAATGCTGTTTCAAGAGAGTGAAATAAGAGACCAAGCTCAATGTTATAATTGATAATGGCTGCTCCTGTGATTGTCATGCATTCACTCACTCACTCACTCACTCCACACATTCCAGGGTAAGGCGATGAAGAGACAACAGAGAATGATTAAGAACAGAGAGTCAGCAAGCCTGTCCAGGAAGCGAAAGAAAGAGGTGAGTTGTCTCCCTTCCATGGTTTCATGACCTCATATTTTAAGGCTAATAAGCTGTAAAAAATAATTTTAGATTGTGGTAGTAGCTTGGGTTGCGAGTCTGTTTTGTTTTTAATATAATGGACATGATAACAGTACACATGTTCATTTTTCTGGACTCCAGGAATTGTAAGTACATTGTTGCAAAGTGTCAGGGATTTCTGTGTAATTTGAAACAACGTTGCCACTTGCAATATACTATACAGTTTACAAGGATGATATCTACTTTAAATAGGGGTTTGAGTTTGCACGTTCCACCATCCAGTCCCAAAAGCCAAAATAAAAACATGGTTAATAATAAAATACAAATAGTTTTATGTTTACCATGATTCGCTACAAAAATTGATACAGCTACAAAAATCAACAAAATTAATGTAACTAATATGAATGCATGTAATAGATTATAATCAAGATAATTATCAAATGCTTTGTGTCATCTCTGGCCACTGCAATCCCTTTATATAGAATAGAAAGCCTTCTCAGAAAACGTATACATGTCACTTAAAAAATACAGGGTTACTTAAAAAATGCTAAACATACTCATGTTAAACGGTATTGGCGTGCATTTTTTCACACTAAACCAACCCAAATAATGTCATGAAATAATAAAACACTAAGACGATGTAACTTGATTATTTTGACCAACCCAATCAAAATGGTCAACAAGAATCAATGAGCAGTGAAGTAAGACATGTGTGGCGTTCTGCTGTAAGCCTGACTCGTGTGTTTTAGTACCTGACCGGACTGGAGTCCCGCCTCAAGGGCTTCTCCACAGAGAACCAGAAACTGAAGCAGGAGAATGAAACTTTGAAGAGGAAGATGTCCGCCCTGCAGATGGAGGTAGGGCATATTGGATGTGCCGTGAGGGACCAGTCATTTAGTACAGGGGAGGGTAGCTCAGAGGTTTTTGATGCACTATTGTACTGAAAATAATCACCCTCTCTAAATGCTTGTCATATTTGCTTCACCCTCCCATTGTCTTTGTAAAATATTTTCATGACCCTCCCCGAAAATACAAAACACTTCTAATTTACTGTATAATGTCAGTTTTGACATGAATCTCCCCAAATATGTATTATTTTCATGACCCTCCCCAACAACTGTCCAAACTCCCCATACCAATAGACCTGTGAAGATCTGGACTAGAATTGATCTTCAGCAACCAGTATCCCAGTTGCGTATGTTGATGCTCATGATATCAATCACTGGATTATCTTGTCCAGACTTGATTAATTACAGACCACCTTCACATAGCTGGAATATTGCTGAGTGTGGCATTAAACAACAAACAAACTAAACAAACCATACCAATAGAGCCAGACAAATTATGTCAAAGTATAAAATGAACATGTGTCTGTGTGTTTGCAGAATGACAAGCTGAAGAAGGCCTTCTCACTGTCCCCTAACAAGAGGATGTGTTTGTTAACAGTACTTGTTGTGTTCAGCTTCAACATTGGACCAATCAGGTAGCTTATCCAAGTCACATGACCACATATGTCCTCTTGATATTGCTTAAAGATGGCTTGTGGCAAGAAATTGATTTCCTGTCGTGAAACAATTATTGCTTCTGAGAGTTTAACAACTATTAACCGGTCATTGTCAATACTTCACAGGTTTGTATACTCTGCTTTTCTCCATCACCGTACATACATACGGAAGCGAGAGCAAACAAGCGGTTACTCACTCCATTGAGCACGCAGATTACATTGCACAAAGGGCAATAACTCTGGCACAACATAAGTTACTGTTTATGGGCTATCTTCTCTATATTTTTACAGTTAATATCTAAACATTGCTGAATATGGGAATCATGTATTACTTGACTAAAAATAGACGCTGACTGCTATTACAATGCATATCGGCCCGATATATATTCATGGTTGATGGAGGTACATAGTGTGATACCCGTGAAGATCCAGGTAGAGAATCGGTCTTCGGCAACCCATGCTTGCCGTAACAGGTGACTAAGCTTTTCGTAAAAGGCTACTAACGGGATCTGGTGGTCAGGCTCGCTGACTTGGTTGATGTATGTCATTGTATCTCTATTGCTCATGATGTCAGTCACTGGATTGTCTGGTCCAGACTTGATTATTTACAGACCGCCATCATATTGCTGGAATATTGCTGAGTGCGGCGTTAAAAGAAAAAACCCCACAAAATAGTAGGAAGTATTGACGATGTTAACAGGTGCGCAGATCATTGACCAGTGTATGTTCAAAGAGATGTTTTAACCTAAACTCTTTCCTTGCAGTAATTTCTTCTCAAGCCACACCATTCCTGTCCCCAACCCTTCAGTGGTGAATGTACACAGGGGCAGACAACTCCTGGCACTGCAGGAGGAAGAAGAGCTCTCCTATAAAGAAAACATTAACCCTCGCTGGAAGCATGCAGGAGACAACATGTTTCGGAAACTCCAGCAGCTATCGGACGAGATGGGATGGACACACCCATCAGGCAAAATGAACCAGTCCGACTTTGAAGCCCTCATGTGCCCCACCTTCTTCAATAAGACAGAGTCAATTAGGTTCGTTGAAGCTGATTGTCAGGGATGGAAGCTAGCATGAGCCCTCTAGCTGATTAGCTCACTAGCAGGGACCTCTTTGGTTAACGTTTAAGGTGTCTTTAGGGTTGGTAGAATTTCAAACATTTTTGGATAGAAGCTAGCATTAGCCCACTAGCCCATATGCCCAGACATCTTTTGTTAATTTTAAAGGTGTCTTTAAGGGTTGGTAGAATTTCAAACATTTTGGAGGGTATTGCTATATGTTATCACTATTCAGGCTAGTAGACGTTCTCGGTTAATTTCCTTCCCTGATTATAATGATGTTTTAGAAGAGGTTTTGTCTCCAAATAATCTGAGTGCGTCCATCCATCCTCCCATCCATTCTTCCATCCATCCATCCATCCATCCATCCATCCATCCATCCATTCATCCATCCATCCATAAAGACATCCATCCATCCATCCATCCATCCATCCATTCATCCATCCATCCATAAAGACATCCATCCATAAAGACATCCATCCATCCATCCATCCATCCATCCATCCATAAGACATCCATCCATCCATCCATCCATCCATAAAGACATCCATCCATAAAGACATCCATCCATCCATCCATCCATCCATCCATCCATCCATCCATCCAGAAAGACATCTATGTAGACCATACAAGTCCACTGGATTGGTTGTCTGTTAGAACAAATTCATTTACTCACTTTCTTGCCGTGTCACAAGATCGCCTAATGTCACAATTTGTTTGTTCTTTGAATTGATATACAGTAAACTACTTATAACGAACCCGCGTATAACAAACTGACCGATATAGCGAACTTATTTCTTAGCATGCTTAGTCCAGGCATTTGCTGTTTATATGCTGTATATATGCTTATAATGAACTTCGGTTATTATGAACAAAAGTTGGTGGTCCCATTGAGTTCGTTATAACTGTAGTTTACTGTTTTAAGTGATGGCTTGTAGGGCACAAGGTTGCCTAAGGTCAACCACACAGCTTTCTGCATTCACTCATGTTCAGCTTTGTCCGTCTTGTAGGTTAGCTGAACAGCTAGCTGGGTGGATGATTCAACATGAGGAGGAGAAGATGAAATCTGAGGCCAGCAAACGTCAGAAGAAGAAGAGGAAGGAGATCCGGCCAGTGAAGACGTTGAAGCGGGCACTACGTGGCGACTTCAACCCCAACATGCTCAGGTCGGTGTCCGGTCACAGACTAGGGGCTATGGGATATGGGAAATGTTTGGAAGTTGTCTTCATTTAGCTCAAGGTCAGAATAGCTTCCCTGGGTTGTGGGAAATCTTTGGAAGTTGTCTTGATTAAGGTCAAGGTCAGACTAGGGCCCCTGGGAAATGGGAAATGTTTGAAAGTTGTATTGATTAAGGTCAAGGTCAGACTAGTGGCCCTGGGAAATGGGAAATGTTTGAAAGTTGTCTTGATTAAGGTCAAGGTCAGACTAGTGGCCCTGGGAAATGGGAAATGTTTGGAAGTTGTCTTGATTAAGGTCAAGGTCGGGAAGTAATGTTTTTGGACTGGAACTACATGGGTGCCATGTTAAAAAAGTAGGCGCTTTATGGAAATGGAAAGGAAGTGAAGGGGTTGCTTCTAAAGAACTTGCTAACACTGCAGTTGTGTCTTGATAAAGTTTTGGTATTACATGTTGTATCCCTGTGGGGACCGAGGTTAGAATAGTTGCCCAGCGACCTACTTTGCTTGTTGTATTAGGGCACTAAATAGGATTGAGTGGTCAGCATCTGGAACTTGGTGATTATGTGTCCTCGTACCCTGGTGACGGCATTCCGCGTAGTTTTAAACTGTAATCAACTCGTGTTAAAATGTTAGATATCAAAAGAAACTCGGGTAAGATTCTCTATTTAAATAGGTCCCTTCTCGTCCACAGGTCTAAAGATTCAGGCTACCATGTGCAGGTGTTTGATGGCTCTGATGGAAGGAAGGAATTCCTTGATGCCATCCACAGAAGAAACGACACATTCTATGTGCTGTCATTTAACACAGTGAGTATTCTATCTCTTGGGTGTTGGGATAGCCGGTGGTTGAAGCATTTGATCTTCACGCTACGATGAAAAAAACAAATTGGCCTTAATGTTGAAACATCTGATTTCACTTCCTGTACAGCTGGGAACATGTGTGGCCCAGTCGTCTAAGGCGCCGTAATTCGCTGTGCAGATATTTGTTCCTTGGCCACATTGGGGCACGGGTGGCCCAGTCGTCTGAGGCGCAGTGATTCGCTGTGCAGAGTTGCGTCCCTTGGGCACGCCAGAAACCTATGATTGTGGGTTCGAATCCCGGTTCGCCCCGATTATGTTTCTAGGTTTGTCAGCACCATACCCGTGCTCGTGGGTTTCACTGAAGTGGTAAACGTCCGAGACCTGCCTCACTTCGGGCTATCCTCCCACATTAAGCTGACACGCTGTGATATAACTGGAATAATGTTAAAAGCAGCGTTAAACCCACTCACTCACTCACTCACTCCTTGACCACATCAGAAACCTATGACTGGGTTCGAATCCCTGTTTGCCCCAATTTTGTTTCTAGGTTTGTCAGCACCATACCTGTGCTCGTGGGTTTCACTGAAGTGGTAAATGTGCATCATTTGGGGCTTTCCTCCTACATTAAGCTAACATACCGTCATATAACTGGAATAATGTTAAAAGCAGCTTTAAACCCAACTCACTCACTCACTCACAGCTATTTTACTTGTCTAGACATAACTAGTTTAATATCCGCTCAACCTGCCCCCCCTCTAACTGTTGCTCCATCTCCCCTAGGACTATCTGCTGGTGCCTGCCTCTGCACACAACAAGACGATGCGGCCGCGGATGTCTCTGGTCATGCCTGTCGTCACAATCAATGGTGAGTGTGTACAGAAGTCTTTCAAGTAGCAAGATTAAAAAACAATGTGTGAAATGAGATAAATCGGTTCAGATCTGAACAACCAACATGTGACCTCACCATGTGACCTTGCCATGTGACCTCACTGTGTAACTGTGTTGTGCTGCAGAGACGATGCAGCCGCCGCCAGGGAGCGTGGGGATGATGCAGATCGACTGTGAGGTGCTGGGCACGCAGCTGATCCACGTCCACAAGTCCGTCATCCCGCCACCTTCGCCGGTGTGGAATGCCACCCACAACGCTGGATACAGTGAGGATACTAGGCGAGACCAGCGATAATAGCACCGCCACATTGAGTATATTTCTCCATGGTTGTACCATGTGTCTACATCACAACACTGTATGACGCAACTAACATCTAAATAGCGGCCATTTAGTGTTGAAATCTCTGCTTTTCCATTTGCAAAGCATTGTTACTTACAATTTTGAACAAATCTCAAGTACTTAGTCACCTTGATTACACAGAGCCATATTGCTGCGCCGCATATGACATATGACTTTTCTAAAAAAAAAATGTTCTCAAATTTTTGTGGCCAATTTGCCACAATTATGAAAAGACATTTTGTCATTGTGTTTAGAGGTTGAGGCGAGGTAAAATGAGTTAATTAAGAACATTGTTTTTTAGATATTTGTAACATTAGGTTCTTGTTATTTTTATTGCCTTAAAAAGGGAAAGAAAAAAGCTGAATGAGTGGAGTTATCTACCCTTAGCAACAGGATTGCATTCTCAATAAGTGTTATTAAAATTGTGAATGTTTTTGTGTCACAACAAAGGATCTATCAATTGTTGGCAAACTGTCTATTTATGAATATTGTATGATCAACAGAGACTTAATATTTGGTCTCATTTAGACCTTGTTGGTTCTTCCAATGGGAATGAAATTGAATGATATTGTGTCTAATGGGAAGAAAGGACAAGGTATTAATAGCCCATTTTTACCCACAGGATCTGCATAATTTTGGAAATGAGTCCAACTTTAAAAACTGTTATCAAGTGTGTTGATGTATGAGACCAAGACTTTGTTAGTTTCAACATTTGCATGTGTTGGACTTGCTCAAACTTTGATTTCCTCTTGAAGTTAGAAGATCATTTTAGCTATTCTGATAAACTTGATCATGCCAGAAGTCTGACACCTGAAGTGGAGAAAGTTAAAAAGGTTTAGTTGTCAAACATTTAAATAAATCTGAAAAGTTCATACCATTATTTCGAAGTTTTATGGACTTAAAAATTGAAATTTCCAGAGGTCCATTTTGGGCCTTTACCCTATATTGTCCTTTGTCATGTTTAAAAAACTTTGAAAGGTGGGATTAGTTGTTAAGAAGATGTTACAACAGTCACGGAAAACACTGGTATTCTAATTGTTGAAGTTGAGAGAATTCTTGTTTTATGATTGTTGTGTTTTTGTTTCCAAAATGGTTTCTGCTGGAAATTAACCAATATTATCATTTTGAAATTTTAGAGGATGAGTTCTATTCAGTGTTAAGTTTACAAAACTCTGGTTAGAGTGAGCCTTTTATTTCTCATCGATATAAAGGGCAGCTTTTAGTTTTTTAAACTACGTGGGGATATTTTAGGGATGTTGTTTGTCAGCGTTGAATATGTAACATGGAATGCTAATTGTAAAACACAGAATATTGTTGATGGCAATGGAAAATATGTTTGCACCATGTTCAGAGTAAGCTGGTGGCAAATGGTACTTAGAATTTGTTTTTTCACTTATTTTGCCATTGATAGAACTGCTACATTATTTTGAGATATTATTTTTGAGATTCCTCATGCATTTTTTTCACATCATCATGTCTAGTCCATTGTTTAGTGCTTTCATGTTTGAGAGACAGTGAAACTCTGTTAGTCAGGAAGGCAGCGTTCCCACTATAATCTCCCAGATTAAATATCTTAGGATAAATGATTCATGATCACAGAGTAATGCCACTTTGAACATATAAAAGTACTAGTTTTAAAGCATTCGCTCGTCAAGCTGAAGACCTGGGTTCGACTCCCGACATGGGTACAATGTGTGAAGCCCATTTCTGGTGTTCCCGCTGTGATATTGCTAGAATATATTTAAAAGCGGCGTAAAACCATACTCAATCACTCACTCTTAGCAGTATCTACAGAGTTACCTCCCCTTGGCATGCCAGAAACCTCTGATTGTGGGTTTGAATCCCATTTTCACCATGATCATGTATCTAGGTTTGCATCTTTCATACTAGACCAAGCTGACACCGAAATAGTGTCCAAACTCACTCACTAACTCAGCAGTGACTGTCTGGGTTTTCTGGATTAACAGGGTCTGCACTGAGGAGGTTTCACTGTTGATATAAGACAGTTTTCCCATGATGCGGTGTCATGGTTATCGACCAGTTGATATTTATTCATTCATTCCAGGATATTGATTCCTATATACCCCAAGAGGTTAACATTTTGACATTCTTAACCACCTAGATCATGTAGATATGGGACCAATGATCTATAATACCAGCCCTGACTAAGGATTGGTAAACTGTTTAGAATTTTAGGAATGTCCACATGAGTTGAAAACGTTGCTTTATTCATATGACATTTGTACTGGCATTTCATGTCATGGTTATCTCCTACATCAAAATATGACATTATGCATGTGTAATTCTAGTTTTGGAGTATTCTTTTATTTCCATGTCACAGTATCCGAGATTGCTATGGATAGTTGAATACATATAGTTACCCAATATAGATGAAATATTTTTGTAAATATAGTGAAGCTGTTGGGAGTTGTGTGTCTCTGTTTACACCAATTTGTAAACATAATAGCATAGCTGTGGCTTAAAAATAATAAAAGAATTGGTTCTCAGGCAATGGCTTTTGAAAATATTGTGTGGGTGGGTGCGTTTTTTTTTTGTGGCAGGGGAGGGTGTGTGTGTTCAAACTAGTATGTAACCAAATAAACAGATGTGTAACCAAATAAACAGTTGTATACAATTAATCTGGGAAAGGGCCTCCCAACATACATGTATTCCTTGCTGATACAGTAATACAGTATTTGAAATATTTTGACTTGAAATATTTAAGGATTATTTCTTCTTTTTTTTCAAATAGAAACTAATGAAACATGCCACTTTATAATGCAGGCGGTGCCTTAGAACCAAGACTATTATTTTTTAGCCTATAATGACATGTCCTGTAAGCATGTTATGTATGTCCATCATCTTTTGTGGTAGGATTTTATTCCAACTTTGATTCAGTCGTGAATGGTACGAGATTCAGAGGTGAGCTTCTTTATGTTATTCCGTGTAATGTTTGCAAATGTTTGACAACCTTTTATATATTTGTTCACATTTGCTACTGCTTTCTCCAGGCTTTCGTAACATTTTTTTTGTACCCTGTCGTAGTTTTGTAAGCATAATAGAGCATCAGTTTCTTTGATCCAGTCCCATGAAGATCTGGTCTTCAGCAACCCGTGTTTATCATTAGAGGCGACTAACGGGATTGGGGGGTCATGCTTGCTAACTTGGTTGATGCATGTCATTGTATCCCAGTTGTGTAGATAGATGCTCATGATGTCAATCACTGTGTTGTCTGGTCCAGACTCAATTATTTAAAGACCTCTGTCATGTAGTTGGAATATTAGTGAGTGCGGCGTTAAACATAAAATAGAACTAACTGATGATCACTGAGGAGATGCTAGACATGACATGGCAGTATTGATGTCCTGTCAAGTATAAAACAGGTCAGGATACTTGTCTTATAGTCATCTGTTTTCAAGAATCTGTGACCAAATCACCACCTTTCAAACAACATGAGTGACCAATCAAAAAGCCTGAAGTTAGACAGAATCTGCCATTGTGTCCGACATTTACGCGCTGTCAGACTTATATAAAATAATAGGTACATTTCAATCAACTGTTAGAATATATATTTTTTAATATGTTTTGCACAACACAGTATGTAAATGTGAAACTTTGAGGAATTACAAAACATGAAAGATGGCACATGAATATTTTTGAAATTTACCTAGAGCTATTGGTATATACAATTAGGGCCACTATATACTGCTCAAAGAGGTTAAAGAACACCCGTTTCTTTTCCTAAGACTATAGTTACTCTGTAAGAGCTGATGGTTTTGCAACACACAGCCTTCCAATTGTGGGTGTTTTTTAACGTTCGAGTAGTAGGCATCTGACATGGTCACTCCTGGTGTGGAGAACGTCAATATTTGAGGGACTGTAACATGCAATGTTAGTCGTAGTTATAAGCCTAACATGTATTGGGTGACTAATTTGCACCTGATTTGCTGGTGTGGTTAAGTCCACTTTGGTTAATAGTATAGGTTTATAGTATTTGATGAGTGTCTTTGAGTTGCGCTTTATTGTTCGAGTTTGGAAATGAGTCCAGCATCTCATAAACGATTTCAGATATACCGTATTCGACGTAATAAGCGCCCAGGGCGATCTCAAAATTAGAAATAGGGGGCTCTTATTAGAATATTATTTTGGTGGAAAAAAAACAGAATTGAAAGATAAATTTTGTGGTTTATGCTGACAGCCTGAAATGTTTATATATGACAGATATATTTTTTCCCGAATTTAATTGCCCACAAATAAGGGTGCATATAGCACACGAGTGCATATTTTACACTAATAAATAAGTCTTGTGTACATTAATCAATCGGAAGGGGTGCTAATTGGGATTGTTCACTGGCCAATATATCAGCAAATATGGCCGTGGGTGCTTATTAGAGTGGGGCGCCTATTACGTCAAATATGGTAGTCACAAGACCACGTACCCCTTTTCATTAATATTTCACAACACCCACAACCACCATGGCGAAATGACCAAGATCATTCAATTGTATATAAACTGTATTTTTATTTATGTGTATATATTGTGGTGCTATATTTTGTGTATATTTTAATTCTTATATCATTCCATATTCAGATTTACAACTGGGGTGTGTTTATGAGTGTTTGAAGGATATCTGTCTTTGAGTTCAAGACTTTCTGTGCCAAGATGACGACATACCACATGTGTAACAGTGCCCAGTTTTAAACTGACCTTCTAATTTAAATAATCTGGTCGTATTGAACAGTGTTTTATTGAGATAAAAGTGCCTTAGCAGACAGTATCTTCATTTATTGTCTGTTTTATTTGTGCAATTATATAACAATATGCCACTGGAGGCAAGGTAAATGCAATTTGATCACCTGACACTAGTTTTATTTGAGTCGCTAATTTTGGCACAAAAAGTTGGGTTTTGTGAATATTTGTAACAGGTCTTCTGTGTTGCGATTGTGTATTAGTGCTACTGAAAATAATATGTTGTGGTTCTTTTTTAATATTCATCATCATGTAACCATGTTCACTTAAACTTTGTCTAATGCATACTTCAATATTGGGATCAAAGTAACAGACATCAGAAACCAATAAGGTGTGATCTTATTAATTCATGAAATCCATTTTATAATCATTTTGTGAGATGATTGTAAATACTTGGAAACCTACGCATGTATAACCATGAATTGTGATAATGTAGACCCATGCAACTTGGAATATATTATGTGTAGTAATTATGGTAGTGTGATTTAGAAATGAAACATCCTTTTTGTATTCTTATAATAATATTTAATATATTTGGTACATAGGTAGAAGAATCCATGTGTAGGTCTAGAGTATGTCTGTAGGTTGTTAGCCAGATGGTCATTATTTATGTGAAAATGTTTTATGTCAGACTGATTGATTAACAATGCAATGTTGTAAATGTTTTAGCAAATCTGATTTCTGAATTTCAACTGTCAAAAATGTATCCTTTGTGTAGTGACGTCTGCTCCATGGTAGTGATGTCTGCTGTATGGTAGTGATGTCCGCTGTGTGGTTGTGACGTCTGCTCCATGATTGTGATGTCTGTTCAATGGTAGTGACGTCAGCTGTGTGGTTGTGTCGTCTGCTCCATGTTAGTGACGTCTGCTCCATGATGGCGACATCTGCTGTGTGGTAGAGACATCTGCTCCATGGTTGTGACATCTGCTCCATGGTAGTGACGTCTGCTCCATGATGGCGACATCTGCTGTGTGGTAGAGACATCTGCTCCATGGTTGTGACATCTGCTCCATGGTTGTGACGTCTGTTCCATGGTAGTGAGTTCTCCTCCATAGTAGTGAGTTCTCCTCCATGGTAGTGACGTCGGCTTCATGATGGCAACGTCTGCTGTGTGGTAGAGACATCTGCTGCATGGTAGTGAGTTCTCCTCCATAGTAGTGAGTTCTCCTCCATGGTATTGTCGTCTGCTCCATGGTAGTAAGTTCTCCTCCATAGTAGTGAGTTCTCCTCCATAGTAGTGAGTTCTCCATGGTAGTGAGTTCTCCTCCATGGTATTGATGTCTACTCCATGGTAGTGACGTCCGCTCCATAGTGGTGACGTCTGCTCCATAGTGGTGACGTCTGCTCCATAGTGGTGACGTCTGCTCCATGGTGGTGATGTCTGCTCCATGGTGGTGACGTCTGCTCCATAGTGGTGACGTCTGCTCCATAGTGGTGATGTCCGCTCCATGGTGGTGACGTCTGCTCCATGGTAGTGATCTATGCACTTTATGATGGTAGTGACATCTGTTCTTATGGTAATGACATCTGCTTTATCAATCTACTTGATTGTTTTGTCGTCTCCTGTAGCCAGGTATTCAATGTGCAGCTAGTATTACTTCATACCTCTTCTTTGTACAGTTTGTACCATATTCAATTATGAATGTGGAAGATTTCAGAATTGGCCACCATTGCTCAAATCCTGCAAATATTTAACTCAGACCAGAGCTAACATGGACATTATTGAGCAGTTATAAGGATCATGATGTACTGTAGTGCTCTATGGATCTTGAGATGACCATGATCACCTTTAGAATTGTTGAATGGACCCAGCAATATCATACCTCATTATCAACACTCTGTGCCTTTGTGTGTCAGCTGACCCGAGCAGAAACATTTTTGTCTCAATGCATGTATTAAATGTTTCACATTTTTGGGTTTGCAGAGCTGCAGAATTTGGTTTAAAGGAGACAAATCTTGACTAATTCTTGGTCTGCT